GCAACTGGGAAGTGAAAACCGCCCTCATACCTCTAACAGCACCCAAGACCACTGTATTCATAATCAACCTCCCTCTTCAATTCCTGTTATTCCTCCTACATCGACTTTCAACGCTAAACTTCCTCTTTCGGCTTCCTTCTCAAATGTCACCATAGCCAACGATTCTAGTGCTCAAAACATTGTCCCAGGTCTACTGAAACCTCGCTCCAAACTACACATTGGAGCCTCCAACGTACGCACCCTATGTCAAATCGGTCAGCAGGCTTCCCTGGCTAGAACCCTAGAATCTCGTACCATTGATGTATGCTGTGTCTCTGAAACACGCATACAGGATTCCAGTGTGGTCATTCACTTGACCCCACCTCGGCAAAACGGAGAGCCAACGAGATACACCCTCCGTGTATCTGGTGACCCGATGGCCAGTTCTCGTGGACTGGCAGGTGTAGACATAGCACTAAGCATGAGGGCGGAACAAGCACTGTTAGAGTGGATCCCCGTTAACAGTAGTTTATGCGCTGTTCGGCTAAACGGCTCCGTAGGAACTAGGAAGGATAGGGACACACGTCGTTGCCTTTTTGTCGTTTCTGCCTGTTGTATCCCGATAAGAATAATGAATCGTAATTTTTGGGATCCATTTATGGACCAAGATTATGAGCATATTTTTATCGTATAATTATTATGTAACTAAACTGTTCATATTCATGCCCCTCTTATTATGAGCTTTATTTTGACCTATGAACCATTATTATACGTTTTACCATTCTTGAGTTATAGCCAGTATATTGATTACTACCTCCCTCATTCACAGCCACATCTGGCTAGTTCTTGTACAAATGTTGTTTCATACTTTATTGGTACGTTGTGGTCGGTTTGTTTGGTATATAAACTCAGTATGCTTGAAATATAATGATTCATATCTCAGAGGCTGAGACTTGCGTTCTGGACTCGAATGGCTGGGCTAGAGAGGGGAGCGGAACCAATCAGAACTCCAGGCCGTTCTTACGTGTTTACGCGTCTTTGGTCTGATCGATAATACGCTGTCCTCTAATCTGCAGACACAAGTTATAGCACTGCCTACGCTCCCACCGACTGCGGCTCAGATGAAGTGAAAGATGAATTTTACAGAAAGCTAAACGCTGAGACAAAATACTCGTAGCTAGTGAATTTAATGCCCAACTAGGTAAGTGAAAGAAAACAGAAACATATTTAAGTACGTTAACTCATACACAGCATTAATCTGCTGTCTATTTTTAGCTGCTTTACGTCTTCTAAGACGTGTTGTCCATATGAAAGAAGAATTTTATAATCGTTATTTGATCAAAAACAATCTTTTTAAACCAGTTTTGAAGCTCTTCGTTTCCAACGGATATCGTTACAACCTGTTGGACTCAGCTATTATCGAACTTTTTGACTATATTCGCTCTGAAGAAATAACTTCATTAATTACCCATATAATAGAAAATTATTGGGATATTTTGAAAAATATAAATTACGTACAAACGTTTACCGATCTAAAACGAGCATACGATCACAGTCATCGTTCAGTTAGGACTGTTGTTGGAACTGTGACCCAGCAAGCGACATTAGATGTGTAAGTTTTATTTGTTTGAATTTGGTAGCAGTTTGTCTGCGTTATTTCTTTTTGTTATCAGTGGGATTATAAAGTGAGGGCACTTGTTGTATAATTTCTTAAAGAAATATCCTATAACTATCAATACATATACTGTCGGGTTGAAATCATTCATTTAAAGACGAGTATCTACTTATTTTCAAAATTCAAATAAGTCTTGACTGCCGTTAAGTTATTTGGTGTCGTTAACCTTCATTTATGGATAGAAAGGTAATTAATCTGGATTGCTTTGTGAAAAGATATTTCTAATGTTTCTTTTATAAAATGAACTCTAATGGCTTCTAGTTCATTTGAGTGTTATTTACAACGAAATTACCTCTATTGTCAATTTAAATCTAACTTATTTACTAATGTACCTATCAACAAAGTATGAGATATTATTTATGATTGTTTATAATCTGACTCAGATTTGAATTTACGATGCCCGTTAGATCCTTCCGAAGTTATTAAGTGTTTTGGAATTGTATTTACGACCGACGTTATTTTCATTCCGAAGAAAGAAAGTGTGGCAATGGGTTCACCAGTTTCTCGATTGTAGCGAATTTACGCATGCATTCTCTAGAAACCAGTGCGACCACAAGATGTGTAAATCCCCCAAAAGTCTGGTTATGGTATGCAGATGACATTTTCATTAAACGGAATGATTTTGAAGAATTGTTTGAAAATGTAAACATCTCGGAGAGCATCAAGGTAACAAATGAAGTAGAGTCCAATGACCACAAATTAGCGTTTCTCGATTGTTTGGTTGAGCGAAGTTATAATAATAAGTTGAAAATAAATGTATTCAGGAAATCAACACATTCTTAGAGATACTTAGATTACGGTTCGGCTCATGCGTATTATACAACGGTCACAGTTGTACAAAATTTAGTTGAAGGATTATTAATCTCAGTACAGAAAAGGAAGACCAACAGATTGAATTGAATGGAATTTTGTCTACACTTAAGGCCAACAATTACCCCGGAAAGTGTTCAAAGATGATGAAAAATGAAAGGAAAAACTAAATTAGGGAATATACCGAAAGATTGGAAGTCCACCGTGGTCATCCCATACCGTAGTGAAACATCGGAAGAAATGAAGAGGATTCTAAACAAACATGATATGAGTGCATTTTCTGGCTAGTGACACCATAAGATCAGCATTAGTGAAAGTTAAGGATAGATTTCATAATGAAGAACAGAATATTGTCTATGAGATCAGCCGCGATGATTGTAATGCAGCGTATATGGGAGAAACTTCAAAATAATTGAATGTGAGGTTGAAGGAACACAAACAATGTTTGAGAAATTTTCCCAAATCCTCGGTTGATCTGAAGAAACTTGAAGTTAGATTGGCGATAGCGTTACAGGCTGGCTTCAGAACTTGTTGTATCTGCACCGATCACATATTCACCATTCGTCAGGTTCTAGAACACAGGCATACTTATCGGCGTCCGACAATGGTGATCTTTCTTGACTTAAAAGCAAAATTTGACTCTGTGGACCGAGAGGTTCGGTGACAGTGTCTGTCGTTGAAAGGCGATTCTTAGAAGTACATAAGCCTTGTGAAGGTTCTTTACTTGGACACTACCAACGAACTGTCATATGATTTCGTAACCTCAAGTGCTGTCCGTCACGTATGCCCACTATCTCTATTTCTGTTTAATTTCATCATAGATATACTGATGGAAACAACGTTCTCGTCGACTGAATTTTCGGGCATTGACCTCCTGGAAGGAGGTCTACTTATCGACTTAGAATACGCAGATGATATAGTCCTGTTTAGTGAAGACACTGATAAAATGCAGAGTGTTTTGCTAGCACTGGGCAACAATGCCAGAATGTTCGGAATGAGTTTCTCCCTCTCCAAATGCAAGTTGTTGCTTCAGGACTGGTCTGTGTCAACACCTGAAATAAGGATAGGGAGTGAAGTAGTCGAACGCGTCGACAACTTCGCTCATCTTGGAAGTCTGGTCAACGCTAATGGGTTGGTGTCTGACGAAATCTCTGCACGGATTCGAAAAGCTCGTTTGGCTTTTGCCAACTTACGTCACCGATGGCAAAGGCGAGGTATCCGTCTGTCAATTAAGGGACGAGTGTACTGTGCAGCAACCCGTTCTGTTCTACTTTACGTCTGCGAAGCGCAGTCAATAAAAGTAGAAAATGTTCGTGATTTACTAGTATTTGGTCACAGATACCTTAGAAATATTGCCAGCATTTGCTGGGATCACCGGGTAAGTAATAGTGAAGTTAGACACAGGGTATTAGGGAACGATGGTAAATCAGTTGGTGAAGTTGTGAATCTTCATCGACTGAGATGGTTGAGCCACGTGTTACGTATGCCTGAACACCGATTACCACGACGCGCAATGCTCACTAGTGTTGGGGGTGGTTGGAAGAAAGTTAGGGGCGGCCAAACCAAAACGTTGCATCAGTGCTTGAAGTCACCAACTTCTAGTCTGAGCCATGTTGGAAGATGCACACTACATGGTTGGGGTCCGTGTGACTATCGTAACCAATGATTGGAGACTTGGTGACATGGCTCAGAATCGATCACAATGGCGTCGGTGTATATACTCTCTGTCTTCCCTTAAACTAAGAGACTAAAATCGCTTATCTTTCTTTCTACGAACCAATTCTTTCTTCCTGTACTATATCTTTATATGCAATCTTTCTTTTATATATTACCACCTCTGAATTAACTAATTTTATGAATTTGGTGTTCATTTTGTTGAGGCAACTTGGACCGATGCATATGTGTGCCTGGTTCTACGTTGCAGTTGAGTTTTACTATCTTCATCGTCATTCGATTCCTGTTGTTTTCAGTTTTCTCTTCTTTTCATTTTCCTCTACTGTCAGTACGAATCTTACTTTCCATACCTGATGTATAATAATTATAACTGTACGTATAAATAGCACATACCACAAATGTAGTCTACGCCGGTCATCTCAGTACACAAGTCAGACGGCTTTATCAAAAGTATGTAACTATCAGGAGTTAATTGGTCTATGATCGTAGGCATCCTGTATATGCGTAGTCAGAGTACTTCTAAATGTAATCATGAGATAATTAAATTTCGGACACGTGAGTAAATCAAAACTCGTGAATGTAGTGTACGGAGCAGTGTGACGACGAAATAGATGGAGGGTAGATTGGTTGATTTAGATAACGAATACATTGCTTCACCATACGTCATCTTCCTCATAGATCTATAATCAGAATCTTTTACCAATCGGGAAATAAAACGTTTGAGTAAGTCAACTGTTTACCGAGTACGAAATAACGGGCGCATGAAAAATTATCCGGAACCAGAAAGGCGTATGCGAAAAACAAACGAGTGACCATTCAACATATCAACACAGACTAACGTTACACATATCAATTAAGTATTAAGACATGTGTTATGATATATTCATTTCAATTGACGGATTGAGAAAAAAATTCTGAAACAATTTGAGGTGTCTACAATAAACATTATTAAACAAAGCGCATTTACAAAAGGCAAATGCCTATTAGTTATACAAACATTTCTCTACATAAAATTATTTTTAGATCCCCCAGTCAATCAATACAATGTTTCTATATACAAAATGCGCGCTGGGTAATAGACAGGAAAAATTAGAAGTTTGGCGCATTTACTGAAGATGGAAATTAAAGGAGAAATGACGAAGAACCACTGGCATAGCCAATGTCTTAAGCATCTCAACCTGGATGGTTGGTGGTTTTAACAAAATTGATGAAATCACTTTTGTTAAAAAAATATTCCTTTAAGTTGTAAGACAAAGGCACAGAAATGGTTCATTTCGACGTCTCATCACTTTTGTAAAAAGTAAGGAATGGATGCTTAACAACTTTGTACAATTTTAGACTACATCTGTCACCACTTGACTGGATGAAACATCCGATATGTTGTGATGAGACCCATCAACGTCATTATTTGATGTTTGATTTTCTTCAAATTGAATGTGGTCATTTTTGTCTTTTATTTGTTCCTCTTCCTCACTTTCTTCATCTGAATAATCCACCAAACCAATAGGAGACAATGGATCAGCTTCTATAACCTACAAGCATAGGTCAAATGAATTATTGATAGAACATGTGATGTTACTCTTTTATGATTGTTACAGGGATTATGTCATTTATTGCACCAATCAAAAACATACAATAGACACAAACAACTCAAAATAAAATACATGATTTTTGGACTTACTATGAGGTTTCGATGTGTTAATAGATTTTATATATTTACCATGCATTCATAAAAAATAGATAAACAATATCAGTCCCAGTTAAAACATCAGAGGAAATTGAAAATGCGGTGTATTCCACAAATGTTCAAGTGCAATAGAGTGAGGCATACCCTCATACAAAGTTTAACTCACTGCCTTCACGCCACTGGAATGCTCGAGTTTAAAAATCATCGCTTTGAAGTCAAAGCATTGGTTCTAGAACTCGGCGAAATAAGTTGTACTATGTATTTACAATTGATTGATCACTGGGTGTTGATCGATGTCATGTGTGTCAGGTCCTTCTTAGTGCAGATCGAATCCTATCGACCACGTGTTAACGTCTCTGACTGCGAAGCTGGGTGATAAGGGATCGCATCAGCCAGTGAGCATCCGTTCCCTCAAGATCACAGGTACACCTTGTTGACGAGTGCCAAATGGTACTAAACCTAGGTCCAGGGTTTCCTGTCGACCACCTCCAACTACCATCTTATCTCAACATGGTGCACGCAATGTCAAGTCACCTAGACTAGTGGCCAAATTACAACTTTGGAGATTAGATCTATCTGCACTAGGAAGGGACTGACATACATGACATTGATCACTACGCAGTGATCAATCAATTGTAAATGTAATATATATAGTTAAACAGAAGATTTGTATTTTATGGTTAACTTATCGTCATTCATAATAGTCAGTATGTTAAGATTGACGGTGGCTAGCAGTGGAATCCAGGACGCGCCGTTCGTCCTATTTGAGACTGATAAATTGCAGTCCTTAACAACAATAGGAAGATACAAGCAAGCAATACCAAGTGGATTTAAGTCAGTATGTTGCTACATAATAAAACTGTAGACCATAGGTCCAGAGATTGATTCTATGAAAGAATCACCTGCTTGGTTTAAACATCTAAGGAGAATCCCAGATTTTATACAAACCATGTCAATCGAAATGAATGGCCTACATAATAAACCAGTGATCCTATGATCATTTTTTAAATGTATTCTTCATAGAAATTAAGATGTTTCTTTGAATCGAACAAAGTATATTTGGGTTGCGCCCAAAGTTCTTTAATACTTCTAACTCTTGCTATTCATCACATAATGTTCCTTGTTTCTTCGTTTTATTTTATGTAGGAGATATCTTTAAGCCTATAATGCAAGAATTTTGTGTTAGAAATAAATAATACAAAATCGATCACAATAACCGTTTGTAATATGTTTTAATTTAGTTTCGCTCAGCTTTATCATTTCAGTGTAAATCCCATCTACTGAGTATGAGGTATGTAATAAGATTATTAATCAACCCTTTCGATAAACAGAGTAACGAAACAAATTTATTAGAAATCTGTAGCTCATCAATTTAGTTTGTTGACTATTACTCAGTCCACCACATTTAATCCGATAACATAAAGAGTTTATGCACATTTAGGATGAAAATGAGTGATGTTGGTAGATTACATTAATACTCATTCGCTTCATATTATTACAATATTTCGATTTAAAAGCAGGATTAAATATGTACACATATGTGGATACTTGCTGGTCGGAGGCCTATGCTCCATTAGAAGTAACGGGCGTAAGTATGTGTATACTGAAATGCAATTTTAAGCACTGATGAATATTTAAAAGTATTTTACTAACATAAATAGTTTCTTGATTATAATAAAGCGAATCTAAAATAAGCAACTACTCGCTTAAACACCTCACTGATGAGAAATTAAAACAATTAACCCACCTCAAATGATTTTGTATTATTTGTCTCATGAGGAAGTTTGTCAGAGTAGCTGTTTTCCAAGATAACTGTTTCTTTGTGTAGGTGAAAATCTTGGGATGATGACTTGTTACTTGACTGTCTAGATTTTTTCAAACGTTTTACCTGGACTAAATTGCAGTCCTCATTTTCAACAGGAGGATCGATATGATTTCGCTTTATTTTATGGGAAATATCAGACATAATGGGACTTGATACTGATGAGTTTTGTGCATCACTTGAATTCGAACCGGTTACATTTTCTTTATATTCATTATCATCAATATGGTTAGGATTTCTGGCGCTTGATAAACTGGTATCTGACGCTAATAAAGATGGATTTAATCGACCACTTATTTCAAATCCATCACTCATTGTTTCTATTTTCTCTCTACACAATGATTTGATATGAATCGCTATAGGAGTTTGACGACCAAAATTAAGACGTGCTGCAGAAGACTCATTATCATCATTCAAAAGAACAGTGTGAGGACGTACACGAAGTCTATCGCACAGAGATCCTGAACGTGGAGGTATGCATAAATTGTCAGTTAAATTATCCATTACAGATTTCGGTGAAAAACTGGGTGGATGAGGCAGAACACTAGCGCATGAATCAAGACTAGAATTGCTTGGTGCGACCGAGGATGATAAAGAAACCAAACTAGATTGCGTATCTGAAGACGTAACAATACCCAATAAATCTGACGAAGTAGTGATTACAGAATGTAGCCCATATGAAGGGAGATTTGACAAACCACTTCCAACAGTAGGTTCACTTGCACTAGCAGAAGCATTTGTCGTTCTATTGAGCAATGTTGGCGAGTGTTGTGGGAATAGGTTATCTCCATCTTCTTCCTCTTCCTCATCTTCATCCTGATCAAACCATTGTTCTTCTTCCATCTCTAGTGCACGTGCATCACGTTGGAAACGCGTAGAAGTCAAAGAAAGCCTTAAATTATCAAGTTAACAAAAACACGTAAACAATCGAGCATCAAGAAAGTGATAAAAACTACAGAGATTTAACATTACTTGTAAAATTATATTTGAAATAATCTCAGCGACTGAAAATTACATAATCCCAATGTTTCGTCCAGCAATCTCGCCCAGACCTCTTCAAGGTAATCAAAACCAAAACTACCAAATATATAATGCTTAACAATGAATAATTTCTCACTTTCATTATCCAATCATGTAAGTAGGATAACATGAGTCAGTTATGTGCGGATCATGTGAAAAGTTCGCAATGTGGAGATAAATGCATGAATGATTGTGTGTGCAAGTTTGAGTTACTGAAAGTTGATATTGGGTGTTAATTTTTCGTTATATGAAGTAAAAATAAAAGTACAAATTGAAAGTTGGAATTGTTTGTGAACTATCGATGTGCGTATAAACTGAGAACCAATAAATATATAATTGTGATACTAAAATATCCCAATTAATTTCTGTCAGAATAACAATTGCCTACGCAAAATACTGAATGTCCGTTGACCGGATACCATCAGCAACAACCTACCATAGGAGAGAGCAAAACCAGCTTTCAGATTAAGAAGTTAGATGTTGGAAGTGGATAGGATATCCATTGTGAAAGCCACCAAACTGCATCACGAAGCAATTGCTAACTTGGAATCATGAAGAGAAACAGAAAAGAGTAAAACCAAAGAACAGATTTCGCCGACAACTGAAAGACATAGTAAGGATGAATAACAACTGGGAAGGATTGCCCAGGACGGAGACAGGTAGAGAAGAGTGGGTGGTGGGTGACCTATGCCCCTCTACGAGGAGCAACAGGCGTAAATAAGTACGAATAACAATGCGTGTGAAAAAAACAGGTTGGGTAGAGATGGCGTCTAATTACTTGTTACTGGACATTTACTATGTGGTAGCTGTTATTGTAGTGAACAAGAACATGGGTGGGGACAACCGAATGTATTTAGCACAAAATTACAGAGTTACTTGGTAAAATAGAAAAACCAAATAGTAAATCAATAATTTGTAAAATATCATTCCATCGTATCAAACCGGACTGTTGCCGTTGCAAACATCAATCTATTGTGTTCTCGCTCTTCCCCCATCTTCTGCTGCCAGACATTACGTTCTTTAACTCGCGTTATATACTACTTATATCAATATAAGTAGCACGCACCACATTATGACTTTACCACTCACAATTATCACTAATCTGTTTAGATCTCTCATCAGGATAATCAGGTCTTTTCCTGGGCAATTTGCTTTGATTGATTGCAGCCTCTCACAGAACTGATCTTCATTGTCGTCGATGCTATCATTGGTGGGTGCATAACACTGGATTGATTATAATTTCCTCCTTTATTTTGAAAGATGCTCTCGTGATCCTGGGTCCACGAGATTTCCCCCTGATTAATCGCTTTACGTGCTTCTTTGAACAGCATTAGAGCAACTCACTGAGTATGAGCAACATTTTCTTCTTTGTGATAGGAGTGCAGCAGCATCACTCCCAAATCTATTATTCTATCCACTTTGGTTTAATGGGTTTCACTAAATCCGAGCACCGGCAAGTTGTATCTTCTCATTTCCGCAGCTATTTGATCGGTCCTCCCGGTCTCCCACATTGTCCAGACGTTCCGTGTACCTATATTAATTGTTGCTCTGGTTGTAAGAAGTGGTATCGGCCTCATAACTGCCGAAGAATCTAAGCTTTCACCATGAGGCATCATAATTGTTCTAAAAGATCCTTCAACCCCCAAGGTAGTTTATATTATTAATTCTGGTTAGCGTTTTTTCAGGAAAATTGTTTTTTACGGGATGGGATGGATGCCCAACTCTCCTACTTTACTTGCGCTTGAGACCGGTAGTAACAGTAGAATAATTACAGGCTAAGGCTTAAAGTACCTGAACACTCCTGAGCATCTTTTAAAATCATTAAGTAACCTCAATCTCGATATAAACATTAAATACAGTGTCTCATATTTAGAGACACAGCACAGAAAAATGGGCTGCAGACACACTTTTCCTTTACGAATGACCAAATTCTGTAATTCTCTAGTCTGAGGTGATCAAGAGACTTCTAGGAATCATTCAATAGGAAACGTGAAATATTTTAAAAGACTCAGGACTCGAGTCCAATCGGATTTACTTATATTTCCCGCTGTGATGTTAAATACATCAAAATGGCTACCTGGACACATGAATTGCAGAATGTTACTAGATACGGAAGCCACTTGAGCAAAAGCTTCTTTTATGTGGCTCAACCATCTCAGTCGATGAAGATTCACAACTTCACCAACTGATTTACCATCGTTCCCTAATACCCTGTGTCTAACTTCACTATTACTTACCCGGTGATCCCAGCAAATGCTGGCAATATTTCTAAGGTATCTGTGACCAAATACTAGTAAATCACGAACATTTTCTACTTTTATTGACTGCGCTTCGCAGACGTAAAGTAGAACAGAACGGGTTGCTGCACAGTACACTCGTCCCTTAATTGACAGACGGATACCTCGCCTTTGCCATCGGTGACGTAAGTTGGCAAAAGCCAAACGAGCTTTTCGAATCCGTGCAGAGATTTCGTCAGACACCAACCCATTAGCGTTGACCAGACTTCCAAGATGAGCGAAGTTGTCGACGCGTTCGACTACTTCACTCCCTATCCTTATTTCAGGTGTTGACACAGACCAGTCCTGAAGCAACAACTTGCATTTGGAGAGGGAGAAACTCATTCCGAACATTCTGGCATTGTTGCCCAGTGCTAGCAAAACACTCTGCATTTTATCAGTGTCTTCACTAAACAGGACTATATCATCTGCGTATTCTAAGTCGATAAGTAGACCTCCTTCCAGGAGGTCAATGCCCGAAAATTCAGTCGACGAGAACGTTGTTTCCATCAGTATATCTATGATGAAATTAAACAGAAATAGAGATAGTGGGCATACGTGACGGACAGCACTTGAGGTTACGAAATCATATGACAGTTCGTTGGTAGTGTCCAAGTAAAGAACCTTCACAAGGCTTATGTACTTCTAAGAATCGCCTTTCAACGACAGACACTGTCACCGAACCTCTCGGTCCACAGAGTCAAATTTTGCTTTTAAGTCAAGAAAGATCACCATTGTCGGACGCCGATAAGTATGCCTGTGTTCTAGAACCTGACGAATGGTGAATATGTGATCGGTGCAGATACAACAAGTTCTGAAGCCAGCCTGTAACGCTATCGCCAATCTAACTTCAAGTTTCTTCAGATCAACCGAGGATTTGGGAAAATTTCTCAAACATTGTTTGTGTTCCTTCAACCTCACATTCAATTATTTTGAAGTTTCTCCCATATACGCTGCATTACAATCATCGCGGCTGATCTCATAGACAATATTCTGTTCTTCATTATGAAATCTATCCTTAACTTTCACTAATGCTGATCTTATGGTGTCACTAGCCAGAAAATACACTCATATCATGTTTGTTTAGAATCCTCTTCATTTCTTCCGATGTTTCACTACGGTATGGGATGACCACGGTGGACTTCCAATCTTTCGGTATATTCCCTAATTTAGTTTTTCCTTTCATTTTTCATCATCTTTGAACACTTTCCGGGGTAATTGTTGGCCTTAAGTGTAGACAAAATTCCATTCAATTCAATCTGTTGGTCTTCCTTTTCTGTACTGAGATTAATAATCCTTCAACTAAATTTTGTACAACTGTGACCGTTGTATAATACCCATGAGCCGAACCGTAATCTAAGTATCTCTAAGAATGTGTTGATTTCCTGAATACATTTATTTTCAACTTATTATTATAACTTCGCTCAACCAAACAATCGAGAAACGCTAATTTGTGGTCATTGGACTCTACTTCATTTGTTACCTTGATGCTCTCCGAGATGTTTACATTTTCAAACAATTCTTCAAAATCATTCCGTTTAATGAAAATGTCATCTGCATACCATAACCAGACTTTTGGGGGATTTACACATCTTGTGGTCGCACTGGTTTCTAGAGAATGCATGCGTAAATTCGCTACAATCGAGAAACTGGTGAACCCATTGCCACACTTTCTTTCTTCGGAATGAAAATAACGTCGGTCGTAAATACAATTCCAAAACACTTAATAACTTCGGAAGGATCTAACGGGCATCGTAAATTCAAATCTGAGTCAGATTATAAACAATCATAAATAATATCTCATACTTTGTTGATAGGTACATTAGTAAATAAGTTAGATTTAAATTGACAATAGAGGTAATTTCGTTGTAAATAACACTCAAATGAACTAGAGGCCATTAGAGTTCATTTTATAAAAGAAACATTAGAAATATCTTTTCACAAAGCAATCCAGATTAATTACCTTTCTATCCATTAATGAAGGTTAACGACACCAAATAACTTAACGGCAGTCAAGACTTATTTGAATTTTGAAAATAAGTAGATACTCGTCTTTAAATGAATGATTTCAACCCGACAGTATATGTATTGATAGTTATAGGATATTTCTTTAAGAAATTATACAACAAGTGCCCTCACTTTATAATCCCACTGATAACAAAAAGAAATAACGCAGACAAACTGCTACCAAATTCAAACAAATAAAACTTACACATCTAATGTCGCTTGCTGGGTCACAGTTCCAACAACAGTCCTAACTGAACGATGACTGTGATCGTATGCTCGTTTTAGATCGGTAAACGTTTGTACGTAATTTATATTTTTCAAAATATCCCAATAATTTTCTATTATATGGGTAATTAATGAAGTTATTTCTTCAGAGCGAATATAGTCAAAAAGTTCGATAATAGCTGAGTCCAACAGGTTGTAACGATATCCGTTGGAAACGAAGAGCTTCAAAACTGGTTTAAAAAGATTGTTTTTGATCAAATAACGATTATAAAATTCTTCTTTCATATGGACAACACGTCTTAGAAGACGTAAAGCAGCTAAAAATAGACAGCAGATTAATGCTGAGTATGAGTTAACCTACCTAACACAAGGAATTTATGAGATGATAGCAATAAAACGAGAACACGTTTTAGTAGATCACGATTAAAGCAGTAATTCTTCATGTGGTATGTATGAGTTTCAATACAGAACGTGAGCAATTCAATTATATGGTTCAAAACTAATGCAGTGTGATAATCATCTACAATAGAAAAAAAGCGTATGATAAACGGAAATATTTCCCATTACCTTTCTCCAGTGTATCTTTTGAAGTATTATCAAATAATGGACGAACAAGTGTATTGATGCATCGTTTATAGAAAAAACTGAGAAAATCTGTTTTTTCGCTACGCTGTAATAGAAAAAATAACAAAATAAACACAGAAACATCACTATTTTACAAATAAATCTGAAAAAAAAGATAATTTTATACACAACTGAGAGTAGACAATTTAATACTTTAATTGAACGAAGCTGTGCTAATTTCCAACAAGTGTGTTAACTCTCAGGATTAAGATATAATTTAAACGGATATTAGATTCCTTGCAGTTTAACAAAAAGAAGTGTTGAAAGTTAGATCAGATGTGATTTTAGCAAAAAATCTTGAAACTGAACATAATAACATCAGACTAGTTTTCAATCGCTGATCCTCCCAATCTCTAAGAAAGGACTTAATTCCTCTTATGACAATCTAACTAGAGCTTAAAAAACCAGGTTGGTATCAGACCAAATATTCACTCTTTGGTAGATTATGAAACACAGACACAATTTTCGATGTCCGACTGTTGTTGTGTCTTTTGACCTTACGGCGGCGCCTGTTCGGGACGCTAGATCCCCATAAATCGCTTAGTAAACGTCTTATTTTTGTAATTTTATTTCGGAAATTTGAATTTCTTGTTTTCGCATCAAAGGCGATTACTTCAACCTTCCGATTGTATTTCCTATTTGGAAGGATCTTAAAATTCATTGATTCGATCCCTTTTTTAAGACACTTTTTGCGGCGTTTCTCGAAGACCATTTTATACTGTATATATAGACTTAAGTTGTGTGCTTGATTTGTTCTAGATTCAGGCTGCTTGAGCAATATACTTCTCCCTCTAGTCATTAGAGCTACGATGCATTGGAATAACTTAGCTTGTCTTATCGTTGTGTTGCTGATCCTTCGTTCCGTTCGCCGCCCGACCGTTGTTGCTACCTTAACGTGGTGGTCGGGCTTGCCTATCGTGATGAACCAATCGAGCTATATTGGCTGGAACAACCGTTCCTCAAGATCCTACAATGTCAGACAGGTCGATTGAAGAGCGGTAAAACTAAAAGCAACAAACTCAAGGTCCGAAGGCGAAGTCATACTGCTGACTGTACAGAGGTATGACGGCAGTAAGGTGTTTCCGTCGGACAGCCATCATAACAGCGATGTTGCTTTCCCACGAGGAGGGGTGGGGTTAGAAAAGGTCCACCCAAAAAATGCACACTCCGCCTTACCCCACGGATGTCCGTCTTCGGTGATAAGGTCTCAACAAGTACGGAGCTAACAAAAATGGTTGTGTGTGGTTGACCTCAAGCAGTTGTCCGTTGGGCACTGCGGTCACGCTCTCAGGTCACTAAGACCACCTCGAATCCAATTTCCTTTTCAGGTACCTCCAGAACAACCCTTCCTCGGTGTGGGCAACCGGGAAGTGAAAACCGCCCTCATACCTCTAACAGCACCCAAGACCACTGTATTCATAATCAACCTCCCTCTTCAATTCCTGTTATTCCTCCTACATCGACTTTCAACGCTAAACTTCCTCTTTCGGCTTCCTTCTCAAATGTCACCATAGCCAACGATTCTAGTGCTCAAAACATTGTCCCAGGTCTACTGAAACCTCGCTCCAAACTACACATTGGAGCCTCCAACGTACGCACCCTATGTCAAATCGGTCAGCAGGCTTCCCTGGCTAGAACCCTAGAATCTCGTACCATTGATGTATGCTGTGTCTCTGAAACACGCATACAGGATTCCAGTGTGGTCATTCACTTGACCCCACCTCGGCAAAACGGAGAGCCAACGAGATACACCCTCCGTGTATCTGGTGACCCGATGGCCAGTTCTCGTGGAAGAAACCTTTCAGTTAAGGGAGACACAACTACTTTTTATGATGCCGAACCTCTGCATTACTGACATGGTTTTGCCACTGAATGTCAGCAATCCTTCGAAGACAACGATGATCGAACACAGAGAGTCGTCTAACATCCTCAACTCGGAGAGGCCAGGTTTCACAAGCATAGAGCAAAACTGCTCTCACCGACGCATTGTAGATCCGATCTTTTACAGCCAGACTAACATCACGAAGGCGCCAAAGGTGGCCCAGATTGGCATAAACCGCTCTGGCTTTCACTATACGTGCATTGATCTCATCACTCACGCCACCATCAGCACTTATGCAGCTACCCAGATACACGAACTTCTCGACTACATCTATCTGCTCACCATCCAGGTTGAGTACAGGATTGGAATCCTGCCAGTCTTGTAGAAGTACTTTGCACTTCGAAGGTGCAAAGCACATACCATACCTACGAACACCGATTGCCAACTGATTAAGTGCGGATTGCATGCCTTGGGCATTATCGCACAGTGAGACAATATCGTCCGCATACTCAAGATCGAGAAGTCTTTCTCCAGGCAACAGATCCACACCACCATTACTTACATCCATCAGAGCTGTTTCCAGAATGTCATCGATGGCAAAGTTGAATAGGAATGGTGAGATTGGGGCAACAATGCCTAACCCCACTACTCGAATGGAACAATAGAGAAAGGTGGCTGTATGCACTCACTCTGCCTGAGGTGTTTTTATATAGGGCTTTTAGGATGTTAATAAACTTCTCAGACACACCCTTCTTCAATAGATAATCCCAGAGAACAGTCCTGTCCAACGAATCGAAGGCAGCCCTGATGTCAAGAAACACCACGATTGTTGGCCTTTGATAAGTGTGACGGTGTTCTAAGATTTGGCGGAGGGTGAAGATATGATCAATACATCCTCGACCGGAACGAAACACAGCCTGCTCCTCGCGAGTCAATCTTTCTCGAGTTTTCAACAACCCACGAAGTATGATGGAAGCCAATAACTTGGACGCAATCGGAAGTAGACTTATCCCTCGATATTTGTTACAGGAACGACGTGAACCCTTTTTAAAGATAGGGACAACTATCAACTCATTCCATGACGTTGGTACACTCTCTAGTTCCCAGACTTTTGTGAACAACACATTCAGTTCCTTAGTTAGAAAGTCACCGGAGGTGAGTCATCTGGGCCAGGTGATTTGTAACGCTTTAAGAGTTGGAGTTCCTTGCGGACTTCCTCCTCATTTGGTGGATCAGTCGTCACCGGCCATGGAGGGCAGGACAGTCTGAACGATGTTGAACACTATCAACGAACTGTCATATGATTTCGTAACCTCAAGTGCTGTCCGTCACGTATGCCCACTATCTCTATTTCTGTTTAATTTCATCATAGATATACTGATGGAAACAACGTTCTCGTCGACTGAATTTTCGGGCATTGACCTCCTGGAAGGAGGTCTACTTATCGACTTAGAATACGCAGATGATATAGTCCTGTTTAGTGAAGACACTGATAAAATGCAGAGTGTTTTGCTAGCACTGGGCAACAATGCCAGAATGTTCGGAATGAGTTTCTCCCTCTCCAAATGCAAGTTGTTGCTTCAGGACTGGTCTGTGTCAACACCTGAAATAAGGATAGGGAGTGAAGTAGTCGAACGCGTCGACAACTTCGCTCATCTTGGAAGTCTGGTCAACGCTAATGGGTTGGTGTCTGACGAAATCTCTGCACGGATTCGAAAAGCTCGTTTGGCTTTTGCCAACTTACGTCACCGATGGCAAAGGCGAGGTATCCGTCTGTCAATTAAGGGACGAGTGTACTGTGCAGCAACCCGTTCTGTTCTACTTTACGTCTGCGAAGCGCAGTCAATAAAAGTAGAAAATGTTCGTGATTTACTAGTATTTGGTCACAGATACCTTAGAAATATTGCCAGCATTTGCTGGGATCACCGGGTAAGTAATAGTGAAGTTAGACACAGGGTATTAGGGAACGATGGTAAATCAGTTGGTGAAGTTGTGAATCTTCATCGACTGAGATGGTTGAGCCACGTGTTACGTATGCCTGAACACCGATTACCACGACGCGCAATGCTCACTAGTGTTGGGGGTGGTTGGAAGAAAGTTAGGGGCGGCCAAACCAAAACGTTGCATCAGTGCTTGAAGTCACCAACTTCTAGTCTGAGCCATGTTGGAAGATGCACACTACATGGTTGGGGTCCGTGTGACTATCGTAACCAATGATTGGAGACTTGGTGACATGGCTCAGAATCGATCACAATGGCGTCGGTGTATATACTCTCTGTCTTCCCTTAAACTAAGAGACTAAAATCGCTTATCTTTCTTTCTACGAACCAATTCTTTCTTCCTGTACTATATCTTTATATGCAATCTTTCTTTTATATATTACCACCTCTGAATTAACTAATTTTATGAATTTGGTGTTCATTTTGTTGAGGCAACTTGGACCGATGCATATGTGTGCCTGGTTCTACGTTGCAGTTGAGTTTTACTATCTTCATCGTCATTCGATTCCTGTTGTTTTCAGTTTTCTCTTCTTTTCATTTTCCTCTACTGTCAGTACGAATCTTACTTTCCATACCTGATGTATAATAATTATAACTGTACGTATAAATAGCACATACCACAAATGTAGTCTACGCCGGTCATCTCAGTACACAAGTCAGACGGCTTTATCAAAAGTATGTAACTATCAGGAGTTAATTGGTCTATGATCGTAGGCATCCTGTATATGCGTAGTCAGAGTACTTCTAAATGTAATCATGAGATAATTAAATTTCGGACACGTGAGTAAATCAAAACTCGTGAATGTAGTGTACGGAGCAGTGTGACGACGAAATAGATGGAGGGTAGATTGGTTGATTTAGATAACGAATACATTGCTTCACCATACGTCATCTTCCTCATAGATCTATAATCAGAATCTTTTACCAATCGGGAAATAAAACGTTTGAGTAAGTCAACTGTTTACCGAGTACGAAATAACGGGCGCATGAAAAATTATCCGGAACCAGAAAGGCGTATGCGAAAAACAAACGAGTGACCATTCAACATATCAACACAGACTAACGTTACACATATCAATTAAGTATTAAGACATGTGTTATGATATATTCATTTCAATTGACGGATTGAGAAAAAAATTCTGAAACAATTTGAGGTGTCTACAATAAACATTATTAAACAAAGCGCATTTACAAAAGGCAAATGCCTATTAGTTATACAAACAT